GATCTTAATGCACTAAAGAAGGTACATTGTATATGCAAATAATAAGCAATTCCCTGCGTGAATGTATGTCATGATTTATTTTTGACAGCATATTAATGAAGAACTCAAGAATAATGAAACAGTTAATGATCTATATTTCACATTTGAAGAGAATAATGATTGCATTGAGTTTTGCTTTAATGAACCAAGTCCAAAGGGATGGTCAGTTAAACCTTATGACAAACCAACAAAAGTAAGCTCTTAAATTAAATGATTGTATTATATTGTTGCAATAGGTTAGTCGGAGAGCAATTGATGACTATGGCAGCAAGTCTCCTCCTAACTTTCCACAACGCTTAATTGAAATCACAGCTGAACCTGGTGAAGGTGCAGATAGATTAAGTTATCCTGTAACATTGAGAGGAATTAAATCTGATAATATGGAATTAAACATTGTATTAAAAACTGGTTAGTATCATTAAAATAATACTAATTATTAGTCAGTTTATAATATTTTTACATGCATGCAGTGATTCAGCAACCACTTCCCACAAGCTCTAGTATGTCATTGAGAGGTAGGTAAATGCACTTCATGATTTAGAATTTATGTTCTTATTGTTGGTATAGATGAAGTTAATAGTGCTACAGCCATCAGTCAGAGACAAATATTAAGTAATTTTACTATTTTATTATTTCTATAATTCATTTATCATTATTTTTATTAAGATACCAGTCATCTTGGTGACATACTTGATTTACTAAAGAGGCATGGATATTCTGGTGTCAATTATTATGATTTTGGTCTTCATCTGGGGCTGCTCCCTCGTACACTTAATGTTATTGATATGGAACGTGGAGATGTTAGTAGTCACTTCAGACTTTGTTTAGAAAAATGGTTGCAACAAGCTGATGATGTAAAGGGTAAAGGTGGTCCAACTTATGATACATTAATCCAAGCATTGAGGAAGATTGAGCAGAATGCTGCAGCTGATGGAATTGATAGAGAATTAAGTAAGGAAATAAGTTTAATTATGTTCTTTGATTGTTCCTATTTCTCTTTTCTGATACTACTTACATGTAGGTATAGGAAAATTTTGAGGCAATTCTGGTTGATATTTTAAAATTAGTAAACTTTTAGAAAAAAATTGGCTTTAAAATTACCCCAATTTTCTGATATAGTATTGA